GTAGTGGACAGCCCAACACCAACAATGGTAGTGGACAGCCCAACACCAACAATATTAGTGGACAGCCCAACACCAACAATGTTAGTGGACAGCCCAACACCAACAATATTAGTGGACAGCCCAACACCAACAATGTTAGTGGACAGCCCAACACCAACAATTTAAATGGACAGCCCAACACCAACAATTTGAATGGACAGCCAACACCAACAATGGTAGTGGACAGCCCAACACCAACAATGGTAGTGGACAGCCCAACACCAACAATGGTAGTGGACAGCCCAACACCAACAATGGTAGTGTACAGCCCAACACCAACAATGGTAGTGGACAGCCCAACACCAACAATGGTAGTGGACAGCCCAACACCAACAATGGTAGTGGACAGCCCAACACCAACAATTTAAATGGACAGCCAACACCAACAATGGTAGTGGACAGCACAACACCAACAATGGTAGTGGACAGCCCAACACCAACAATGGTAGTGGACAGCCCAACACCAACAATGGTAGTGGACAGCCCAACACCAACAATATTAGTGGACAGCCCAACACCAACAATGTTAGTGGACAGCCCAACACCAACAATATTAGTGGACAGCCCAACACCAACAATGTTAGTGGACAGCCCAACACCAACAATTTAAATGGACAGCCCAACACCAACAATTTGAATGGACAGCCAACACCAACAATGGTAGTGGACAGCCCAACACCAACAATGGTAGTGGACAGCCCAACACCAACAATGGTAGTGGACAGCCCAACACCAACAATGGTAGTGTACAGCCCAACACCAACAATGGTAGTGGACAGCCCAACACCAACAATGGTAGTGGACAGCCCAACACCAACAATGGTAGTGGACAGCCCAACACCAACAATTCAAATGGACAGCCCAACACCAACAATTTAAATGGACAGCCCAACACCAACAATTTAAATGGACAGCCCAACACCAACAATTCAAATGGACAGCCCAACACCAACAATGGTAGTGTACATCCCAACACCAACAATGGTAGTGGACAGCCCAACACCAACAATTTAAATGGACAGCCCAACACCAACAATGGTAGTGGACAGCCCAACACCAACAATGGTAGTGGACAGCCCAACACCAACAATGGTAGTGTACAGCCCAACACCAACAATGGTAGTGGACAGCCCAACACCAACAATGGTAGTGGTCAGCCCAACACCAACAATATTAGTGGACAGCCCAACACCAACAATGGTAGTGGACAGCCCAACACCAACAATGGTAGTGGACAGCCCAACACCAACAATTTAAATGGACAGCCCAACACCAACAATGTTAGTGGACAGCCCAACACCAACAATATTAGTGGACAGCCCAACACCAACAATGTTAGTGGACAGCCCAACACCAACAATTTAAATGGACAGCCCAACACCAACAATTTTAGTGGACAGCCCAACACCAACAATGGTAGTGGACAGCACAACACCAACAATATTAGTGGACAGCCCAACACCAACAATGGTAGTGGACAGCCCAACACCAACAATTGTAGTGGACAGCCCAACACCAACAATTTAAATGGACAGCCCAACACCAACAATTTAAATGGACAGCCAACACCAACAATATTAGTGGACAGCCCAACACCAACAATATTAGTGGACAGCCCAACACCAACAATGGTAGTGGACAGCCCAACACCAACAATATTAGTGGACAGCCCAACACCAACAATGGTAGTGGACAGCCCAACACCAACAATTTAAATGGACAGCCCAACACCAACAATATTAGTGGACAGCCCAACACCAACAATGGTAGTGGACAGCCCAACACCAACAATGGTAGTGGACAGCCCAACACCAACAATTTAAATGGACAGCCCAACACCAACAATGGTAGTGGACAGCCCAACACCAACAATGGTAGTGGACAGCCCAACACCAACAATTTAAATGGACACACAAGATTACCTCCAGGTCATTAGAGGCTACTACAATACTGCCAGGTCGCTGGAAATAAATTTTTTCTTTAGTAGCACAGTCAAATGTGCCAAATCAAAAAATGGGACTGACCACAAATTATGCCATGCCCACACAATATGCCATGCCCACAAAATATGCCATGCTCATCATTATGCCTTGAACAATAAATGTACCATGAGCACAATATCCTCTGGGCTATCAAATTTTATTGTTGACCCTTCTTTATTACACATTTTTAATTTCTGTTTGCTTTTTGCGGGTTTGTGGAAAATCTTGGAACTCAGTTTTGACCCACTTCTAATGCATCAATTTCTTTTAAACTTTCCATATATTTTTTCTTTTTTAATGACCATGAAAAATGAATGACTACAACATGGAAAATAAAACAAATAAAAAACATTTATAATAACAAGCTTTATTAATGCACTGAATATAAGAAAAGAAAACAAACTTCATTAAGTTAATAAAAGCTTTTGTAGCTAAAATATGTAAGAGTTCTCAAGAAGGATAACAGCTTTTATTAATAAAGTTTGCTTTAGTTTTTAATTGTTAATGCATTTAAAATCTTGTTTTTTTTAAAATAATTTTCTTGTCTCTGGACAAAAATCACAATCTGACCAATGGATGGTTGATTTTTGAGGAGATGAAACATAAAACAACACATAAAACCTGGATGGTTGATTGAGATTTTTGAGGAGATGAAACATAAAACAACACATAAAACCTGGATGGTTGATTGAGATTTTTGAGGAGATGAAACATAAAACAACACATAAAACCTGGACAGAAAATTATAACTGAAACTAATTTCACCTGCTTCTCATCAGTCTAAAGAAACAAAAGATTGGGAGAAAAGTTGGACAAAATTTTAAAAAATATTTTGTCTTATTAGTATAGAAATATTATCACAATATTTTCATTATTATGGAATAAATTATGATACAAATTTTCATATTCCTATAAGATAAAACAAGATGGCAAGTTTCTCAATTGAATGGTAAGTATCATGTCGAGATAAAATAAGAGCACAATTAGTCAAGTGACTTACTGCCCCCTTTTTCCCATCCTTCTTATCCTGTGCTTGAGCTCCCTTCTTCTGTGCGGGAGAGTTGTTGACCCTGTTGCTGCTTTGTGCAAGTCTGTCCTCCAGCGTAACAGGTTTCCTTTTTGTCTTTCAACAAAACAAAAAAATGTGTCACTCCAAACCAAAAGGTAGGGAAAACAAACAAATGGGAGGTAGAAAAAAATGATTCCAGCTTGCAAGAGTTCTAACCTTCTCAGCAACTGCATGTTCAGTGTAGGCCACAACTTTGTAAGCTCCACGGACCCGATCAACTGACAAAAAATAATTGAAATTAATTATCTGAGAAAATATTTTTATGTTAAATAAATTAATTATCTGAGAAAATATTTTTATGTTAAATAAATTAATTATCTGAGAAAATAATTTTATCCTAAATTAATTAATTATCTGAGAAAATAATTTTATCTTAATTAAATTAATTATCTGAGAAAATAATTTTATCTTAAATAAATTAATTATCTGAGAAAATAATTTTTACTTAAATAAATTAATTTGAGAAAATAATTTTATCTTAAATTAATTAATTATCTGAGAAAATAAGTTTATCTTTAAATAAATTAATTATCTGAGAAAATAAATTTATCTTTAAATAAATTAATTATCTGAGAAAATAATTTATCTATAAATAAATTAATTATCTGAGGAAATTCTATCATGTTTAAATTAATTATCTAAGAAAATAATGTAATCTTCAAACTATTGTTGAGAAAAAAAAATTGACCAGGTTTAGGATAGAGCAATGGGGCCAGGTTTAGGATAGAGAAGTGGGGCCAGGTTTAGGGACTTACCACCAGGATAGAGCAATGGGGCCAGGTTTAGGATAGAGAAGTGGGGCCAGGTTTAGGATAGAGAAATGGGGCCAGGTTTAGGATAGAGCAATGGGGCCAGGTTTAGGATAGAGCAATGGGGCCAGGTTTAGGATAGAGCAATGGGGCCAGGTTTAGGATAGAGAAATGGGGCCAGGTTTAGGATAGAGAAATGGGGCCAGGTTTAGGATAGAGAAATGGGGCCAGGTTTAGGAACTTACCACCAGGATAGAGCAATGGGGCCAGGTTTAGGAATGCCACACCATGAAAACTCGGCTGGGTATCTTCTTCCTAAACAAAATACATTGATATTAGCTGCATTAAATGGATCAGTTGATCTCTCAAGCCAGCTAATCTGTTAGGTCAGTTGATCTTTTAGGTCAATTGATATTTTAGGTCAGTTGATCTTTTAGGTCAGTTAATTTGTTAGGTGACTGGATCTTACTTTTTTTCCTTTACTCAACTGTGGTTGAGGAATTCTAAAAATTTCTAAAGGCCAAAATCTTTTTCTGGCGATTGTCTCTTGGTACCTGAGTACAAACAATAACAGATAAAGATGTGATGCTAATGACAGGTTGTGGTGCTAATGACAGGTTGTGTGTGAAGTTGTTGTAGTGTGTGTGAAGTTGTTGTTGTGTGTGAAGTTATTGTAGTGTGTGTGAAGTTGTTGTTGTGTGTTAAGTTGTTGTAGTGTGTGTGAAGTTGTTGTAGTGTGTGTAAAGTTGTTGTGTGAAGTTGTTGTTGTGTGTGTGAAGTTGTTGTGTGAAGTTGTTGTTGTGTGTGTGAAGTTGTTGTGTGAAGTTGCTGTTGAGTGTGAAGTTGTTGTTGTGTGTGAAGTTGCTATGTGTGAAGTTGCTGTAGTGTGTGAAGTTGTTGTGTGTGAAGTTGTTGTGTGTGAAGTTGTTGTTGTGTGTGAAGTTGCTATGTGTGAAGTTGCTGTAGTGTGTGAAGTTGTTGTTGTGTGTGAAGTTGTTGTTGTGTGTGAAGTTGTTGTGTGTGAAGTTGTTGTTGTGTGTGAAGTTGCTATGTGTGAAGTTGCTGTAGTGTGTGAAGTTGTTGTTGTGTGTGAAGTTGCTATGTGTGAAGTTGCTGTAGTGTGTGAAGTTGTTGTTGTTGTGTGTGAAGTTGTTGTTGTGTGTGAAGTTGCTATGTGTGAAGTTGCTGTAGTGTGTGAAGTTGTTGTTGTGTGTGAAGTTGCTGTTGTGTGTGAAGTTGCTGTTGTGTGTGAAGTTGTTGTAGTGTGTGAAGTCGTTGTAGTGTGTGAAGTCGTTGTAGTGTGTGAAGTTGTTGTGTGAAGCTGTTGTTGTGTGTGAAGTTGCTGTTGTGTGTGAAGTTGCTGTTGTGTGTGAAGTTGTTGTAGTGTGTGAAGTTGTTGTTGTGTGTGAAGTTGTTGTAGTGTGGGAAGTTGCTGTAGTGTGTGAAGTCGTTGTAGTGTGTGAAGTTTTGTGTGAAGCTGTTGTTGTGTGTGAAGTTGCTGTGTGTGAAGTTGCTGTTGTGTGTGAAGTTGCTGTGTGTGAAGTTGCTGTGTGTGAAGTTGTTGTAGTGTGTGAAGTTGCTGTGTGTGAAGTTGCTGTGTGTGAAGTTGTTGTGACCATTTGACAGCCGATGAGTCGAGGAAACATCGCCGCTCCATGTTCCACGTCACACGATTTTTCTCGGTCTCTGCATGGGTGCGAAGGTCACGGTCATCTTTCCCTTTCAAGTCTCCATCTTCATCATCAATAGGGTCAGAGAATATAACCCTAGGGAGAAACATATTTATATCAGAGCCACTGGATGGGAAGGGGGGAGGTTACTGCTTACTGATGGAAAGATGACAATTAAAAATGGTAACCTGTTATTGAATGACATAAAACAACATCAGCCTCACACAACATCAGCTTCACACAACATCAGCCTCACACAACATCAGCCTCAACATCAGCCACACACAACATAACCCCCTCACAACATCAGCCTCACACAACATCAGCCTCACACAACATCAGCCTCACACAACATCAGCCTCACACAACATCAGCCTCACACAACATCAGCCTCACACAACATCAGCCACACACAACATCAGCCACAACATCAGCCTCACACAACATCAGCCTCACACTACATCAGCCACACACAACATCAGCCTCACACAACATCAGCCTCACACAACATCAGCCACAACATCAGCCTCACACAACATCAGCCTCACACAACATCAGCCACACACAACATCAGCCTCACACAACATCAGCCTCACACAACATCAGCCACAACATCAGCCTCACACAACATCAGCCTCACACAACATCAGCCACAACATCAGCCTCACACAACATCAGCCTCACACAACATCAGCCTCACACAACATCAGCCTCAACATAAGCCTCACACAACATCAGCCTCACACAACATAAGCCTCACACAACATCAGTCACAACATCAGCCTCAACATCAGCCTCACACAACATCAGCCTCACACAACATCAGCCACAACATCAGCCTCACACAACATCAGCCTCAACATCAGCCTCACACAACATCAGCCACACACAACATCAGCCTCAACATCAGCCTCACACAACATCAGCCTCACACAACATCAGCCTCACACAACATCAGCCGTGGACACACAACATCAGCCTCACACAACATCAGCCTCACACAACATCAGCCTCACACAACATCAGCCTCACACAACATCAGCCACAACATCAGCCTCACACAACATCAGCCTCACACAACATCAGCCACAACATCAGCCACACACAACATCAGCCTCACACAACATCAGCCTCACACAACATCAGCCTCACACAACATCAGCCACACACAACATCAGCCACACACAACATCAGCCTCACACAACGTCAGCCACAACATCAGCCTCAAACAACATCAGCCTCACACAACATCAGCCTCACACAACATCAGCCTCACACAACATCAGCCTCACACAACATCAGCCTCACACAACATCAGCTTCACACATCAGCCTCACACAACATCAGCCTCACACAACATCAGCCTCACACAACATCAGCCTCACACAACATCAGCCACAACATCAGCCTCAACACCAGCCTCACACAACATCAGCCTCACACAACATCAGCCTCACACAACATCAGCCTCACACAACATCAGCCTCACACAACACCAGCCTCACACAACATCAGCCTCACACAACATCAGCCACAACATCAGCCTCAACACCAGCCTCACACAACATCAGCCTCACACAACATCAGCCACACACAACATCAGCCACAACATCAGACACAACATCAGCCACACACAACATCAGCCTCAACATCAGCCTCACACAACATCAGCCTCACACAACATCAGCCTCACACAACATCAACCACACACAACATCAGCCTCAACATCAGCCTCACACAACATCAGCCTCACACAACATCAGCCACAACATCAGCCACAACATCAGCCTCAACATCAGCCTCAAACAACATCAGCCTCACGCAACATCAGCCACACACAACATCAGCCACACACAACATCAGCCTCACACAACATCAGCCTCACACAACATCAGCCTCACACAACATCAGCCACACACAACATCAGCCTCACACAACATCAGCCTCACACAACATCAGCCACAACATCAGTCACACACAACATCAGCCTCACACAACATCAGCCTCACACAACACCAGCCTCACACAACATCAGCCTCACACAACATCAGCCACAACATCAGCCTCACACAACATCAGCCTCACACAACATCAGCCACACACAACATCAGCCTCACACAACGTCAGCCACAACATCAGCCTCACACAACATCAGCCTCACACAACATCAGCCTCACACAACATCAGCCTCACACAACATCAGCCTCACACAACATCAGCCTCACACAATATCAGCCTCACACAACATCAGCCTCACACAACATCAGCCTCACACAACATCAGCCACAACATCAGCCTCAACACCAGCCTCACACAACATCAGCCTCACACAACATCAGCCACAACATCAGCCTCACACAACATCAGCCTCACACAACATCAGCCTCACACAACATCAGCCACAACATCAGCCTCAACACCAGCCTCACACAACATCAGCCTCACACAACATCAGCCACAACATCAGCCACACACAACATCAGCCTCAACATCAGCCTCACACAACATCAGCCTCACACAACATCAGCCTCACACAACATCAGCCACACACAACATCAGCCTCACACAACATCAGCCTCACACAACATCAGCCACAACATCAGCCTCAACACCAGCCTCACACAACATCAGCCACAACATCAGCCTCACACAACATCAGCCTCACACAACATCAGCCTCACACAACATCAGCCACAACATCAGCCTCAACACCAGCCTCACACAACATCAGCCTCACACAACATCAGCCACAACATCAGCCACACACAACATCAGCCTCAACATCAGCCTCACACAACATCAGCCTCACACAACATCAGCCTCACACAACATCAGCCACACACAACATCAGACTCACACAACATCAGCCACAACATCAGCCTCACACAACATCAGCCTCACACAACATCAGCCTCACACAACATCAGCCTCACACAACATCAGCCTCACACAACATCAGCCACAACATCAGCCTCACACAACATCAGCCTCACACAACATCAGCCTCACAAACATCAGCCGTGGACACACAACATCAGCCTCACACAACATCAGCCTCACACAACATCAGCCACAACATCAGCCTCACACAACATCAGCCTCACACAACATCAGCCACAACATCAGCCTCAACATCAGCCTCACACAACATCAGCCACAACATCAGCCTTAACATCAGCCTCACACAACATCAGCCTCACACAACATCAGCCACAACATCAGCCTCACACAACATCAGCCTCACACAACATCAGCCTCAACATCAGCCTCACACAACATCAGCCTCACACAACATCAGCCACAACATCAGCCACACACAACATCAGCCTCACACAACATCAGCCTCACACAACATCAGCTTCACACAACATCAACATCAGCCTCACACAACATCAGCCTCACACAACATCAGCCTCACACAACATCAGCCTCACACAACATCAGCCTCACACAACATCAGCCTCACACAACATCAGCCTCACACAACATCAGCCTCACACAACATCAGCCTCACACAACATCAGCCTCACACAACATCAGCCTCACACAACATCAGCCTCACACAACATCAGCCTCACACAACATCAGCCTCACACAACATCAGCCTCACACAACATCAGCCTCACACAACATCAGCCTCACACAACATCAGCCGTGGACACACAACATCAGCCGTGGACACACAACATCAGCCACAACATCAGCCACAACATCAGCCTCACACAACATCAGCCTCACACAACATCAGCCACAACATCAGCCTCACAAAACATCAGCCTCACACAACATCAGCCTCAACATCAGCCTCACACAACATCAGCCTCACACAACATCAGCCACAACATCAGCCACACACAACATCAGCCTCACACAACATCAGCCTCACACAACATCAGCTTCACACAACATCAGCTTCACACAACATCAGCCTCAACATCAGCCTCACACAACATCAGCCTCACACAACATCAGCCTCACACAACATCAGCCTCACACAACATCAGCCTCACACAACATCAGCCTCACACAACATCAGACTCACACAACATCAGCCTCACACAACATCAGCCTCACACAACATCAGCCACACACAACATCAGCCACAACATCAGCCTCACACAACATCAGCCACAACATCAGCCTCACACAACATCAGCCTCACACAACATCAGCCTCAACATAAGCCTCACACAACATCAGCCTCACACAACATCAGCCACAACATAAGCCTCACACAACATCAGCCTCACACAACATCAGCCACAACATCAGCCACACACAACATCAGCCTCACACAACATCAGCCACAACATCAGCCTCACACAACATCAGCCACAACATCAGCCACACACAACATCAGCCTCACACAACATCAGCCTCACACAACATCAGCCTCACACAACATCAGCCACACACAACATCAGCCACAACATCAGCCACACACAACATCAGCCACAACATCAGCCTCACACAACATCAGCCTCACACAACATCAGCCTCACACAACATCAGCCTCAACATAAGCCTCACACAACATCAGCCTCACACAACATAAGCCTCACACAACATCAGCCACAACATCAGCCTCAACATCAGCCTCACACAACATCAGCCTCACACAACATCAGCCACAACATCAGCCTCACACAACATCAGCCTCAACATCAGCCTCACACAACATCAGCCACACAACATCAGCCTCAACATCAGCCTCACACAACATCAGCCTCACACAACATCAGCCTCACACAACATCAGCCGTGGACACACAACATCAGCCACAACATCAGCCTCACACAACATCAGCCTCACACAACATCAGCCTCACACAACATCAGCCTCACACAACATCAGCCACAACATCAGCCTCACACAACATCAGCCTCACACAACATCAGCCACAACATCAGCCACACACAACATCAGCCTCACACAACATCAGCCTCACACAACATCAGCCTCACACAACATCAGCCTCACACAACATCAGCCGTGGACACACAACATCAGCCACAACATCAGCCTCACACAACATCAGCCTCACACAACATCAGCCTCACACAACATCAGCCTCACACAACATCAGCCTCACACAACATCAGCCACAACATCAGCTTCACACAACATCAGCCTCACACAACATCAGCCACAACATCAGCCACACACAACATCAGCCTCACACAACATCAGCCTCACACAACATCAGCCTCACACAACATCAGCCTCACACAACATCAGCCACACACAACATCAGCCTCACACAACGTCAGCCACAACATAAGCCTCAAACAACATCAGCCTCACACAACATCAGCCGTGGACACACAACATCAGCCTCACACAACATCAGCCTCACACAATATCAGCCTCACACAACATCAGCTTCACACATCAGCCTCACACAACATCAGCCTCACACAACATCAGCCTCACACAACATCAGACTCACACAACATCAGCCTCACACAACATCAGCCACAACATCAGCCTCAACACCAGCCTCACACAACATCAGCCTCACACAACATCAGCCTCACACAACATCAGCCTCACACAACATCAGCCTCACACAACACCAGCCTCACACAACATCAGCCTCACACAACATCAGCCACAACATCAGCCTCAACATCAGCCTCACACAACATCAGCCTCACACAACATCAGCCACACACAACATCAGCCACAACATCAGCCACACACAACATCAGCCTCAACATCAGCCTCACACTACATCAGCCTCACACAACATCAACCACACACAACATCAGCCTCAACATCAGCCTCACACAACATCAGCCTCACACAACATCAGCCACAACATCAGCCACAGCATCAGCCTCAACATCAGCCTCACACAACATCAGCCTCACACAACATCAGCCACACACAACATCAGCCACACACAACATCAGCCTCACACAACATCAGCCTCACACAACATCAGCCTCACACAACATCAGCCACACACAACATCAGCCTCACACAACATCAGCCTCACACAACATCAGCCACAACATCAGTCACACACAACATCAGCCTCACACAACATCAGCCTCACACAACATCAGCCTCACACAACATCAGCCTCACACAACATCAGCCTCACACAACATCAGCCACAACATCAGCCACACACAACATCAGCCTCACACAACATCAGCCACAACATCAGCCTCACACAACATCAGACTCACACAACATCAGCCACACACAACATCAGCCACAACATCAGCCTCACACAACATCAGCCTGACACAACATCAGCTTCACACAACATCAGCCTCACACAACATCAGCCTCACACAACATCAGCCTCACACAACATCAGCCTCACACAACATCAGCCACAACATCAGCCTCACACAACATCAGCCTCACACAACATCAGCCTCACACAACATCAGCCTCACACAACATCAGCCACACACAACATCAGCCACACACAACATTAGCCACAACATTAGCTTCACACAACACCAGCCTCACACAACATCAGCCTCACACAACATCAGCCACAACATCAGCCTCACACAACATCAGCCTCACACAACATCAGCCACACACAACATCAGCCTCACACAACGTCAGCCACAACATCAGCCTCACACAACATCAGCCTCACACAACATCAGCCTCACACAACATCAGCCTCACACAACATCAGCCTCACACAACATCAGCCTCACACAACATCAGCCTCACACAACATCAGCCTCACACAACATCAGCCTCACACAACATCAGCCTCACACAACATCAGCCACAACATCAGCCTCAACACCAGCCTCACACAACATCAGCCTCACACAACATCAGCCACAACATCAGCCTCACACAACATCAGCCTCACACAACATCAGCCTCAACATCAGCCTCACACAACATCAGCCTCACACAACATCAGCCACAACATCAGCCACACACAACATCAGCCTCACACAACATCAGCCTCACACAACATCAGCTTCACACAACATCAGCTTCACACAACATCAGCCTCAACATCAGCCTCACACAACATCAGCCTCACACAACATCAGCCTCACACAACATCAGCCTCACACAACATCAGCCTCACACAACATCAGACTCACACAACATCAGCCTCACAACATCAGCCTCACACAACATCAGCCACACACAACATCAGCCACAACATCAGCCTCACACAACATCAGCCACAACATCAGCCTCACACAACATCAGCCTCACACAACATCAGCCTCAACATAAGCCTCACACAACATCAGCCTCACACAACATCAGCCACAACATAAGCCTCACACAACATCAGCCTCACACAACATCAGCCACAACATCAGCCACACACAACATCAGCCTCACACAACATCAGCCACAACATCAGCCTGACACAACATCAGCCACAACATCAGCCACACACAACATCAGCCTCACACAACATCAGCCTCACACAACATCAGCCTCACACAACATCAGCCACACACAACATCAGCCACAACATCAGCCACACACAACATCAGCCACAACATCAGCCTCACACAACATCAGCCTCACACAACATCAGCCACACACAACATCAGCCTCAACACCAGCCTCACACAACATCAGCCTCACACAACATCAGCCACAACATCAGCCTCACACAACATCAGCCTCACACAACATCAGCCACACACAACATCAGCCTCAACACCAGCCACACACAACATCAGCCTCACACAACATCAGCCTCACACAACATCAGCCACAACATCAGCCTCACACAACATCAGCCACAACATCAGCCACACACAACATCAGCCTCACACAACATCAGCCTCACACAACATCAGCCACACACAACATCAGCCACAACATCAGCCTCACACAACATCAGCCACAACATCAGCCTCACACAACATCAGCCTCACACAACATCAGCCACACACAACATCAGCCACAACATCAGCCTCACACAACATCAGCCACAACATCAGCCTCACACAACATCAGCCTACACAACATCAGCCACAACATCAGCCTCACACAACATCAGCCTCACACAACATCAGCCTCACACAACATCAGCCACACACAACAAACCAGACAAATTGGGCCACAATTTAACAACTTACCAGACAAATTTGGCCACTATTTAAAAACGAACCAGACAAAATAGGCCACCATTTAACAACAAGACAAATTGGGCCACAATTTAACAACTAACCAGTCAAATTGGGCCATCATTTAACAACAAACTAAACAAATTGGGCCACAATTTAACACCTAACCAGGCAAATTTGGCCACCATTTAACAAAAAACCAAACAAATTGGGCCACTATTTAACAACTAACCAGACAAATTCGGCCACTATTTAACAACTAACCAGACAAATTGGGCCACCATTTAACAACTAACCAAACTAACCCTAACCCTACCCATGCCTCTAACATTCACCTTACCCTAACCACCCGCGCTAAGACCCTAAGCTTGGCTAGAGTTATGACCTGGATTGTCATCTGTAAACTTGACGCTTGTTCAACTGAGTTTTATATCATAAGTCAGGGCTAGACTTCCCTCCGTAGAATTTCATCTGAGTTAAACCTCCAATTTTTACCGTTTGATTTAAGTTAAATTGAGGGCAGCGTGATAAGCATTCACCTGTCTGGCAGTACAGCAGCATTAGCATGGGCTGTACCAGGCGACGCCCATTTTTTCTGTTTTGCAATCAAATCTTTTTCCTGAGCAACTTTCAGCAGTCCATTGTTGAAAGTTATGGGAACCTCACGCTAAAAAAAGAACACATCAAATATCAAAGCAATGTTAGTTTATTAGTTCAAATTTTACTAGTTTTTAGTACAAACGTTGTGAGTGGGTTGGTACAAATGTTGAAAGTGGGTTGGCACATATGTTGTGTGTGAGTTGGTACAAGTGTTGTGAGGGAGTTGGTACAAATGTAAGGGGGTTGGTACAAATGTTGTGAGGGGGTTGGTACAAATGTTGTGAGTGGGTTGGTACAAATGTCGTGAGGGGATTGGTACAAATGTTGTGAGGGGGTTGGTACAAATGAGTGGGTTGGTACAAATGTTGTGAGGGGGTTGGTACAAATGTTGTGAGTGGGTTGGTACAAATGTTGTGAGTGGGTTGGTACGTACATCATGAGAGATTGGCACTGGCATGGAGGCGTTGAAGAAATATTGTTGTCCAGTCAGAGTCCATGACTCCGGGGGTGAGTACAGACTGCCAATAGACAGAGTCAGCAGATTTGACTGAGACAAGCGAGACTCGTCTAGGAGAGCTTGGTTGACCGTCACTTTGATGTCCACCTCAGGCTGCAAGAGAGGACCTTGACATTGATATTCAGTCTCTTGATGTACAAGTTGTGTATGTCTCTTGCTGTACAAGTTGTATGTGTAGATATACAAGTTGTATGTGTCTCTTGCTGTACAAGTTGTATGTGTCTCTAGATGTACAAGTTGTATGTGTAGATGTACAAGTTGTATGTGTCTCTTGATGTACAAGTTGTATGTGTCTCTTGCTGTACAAGTTGTATGTGTAGATGTACAAGTTGTATGTGTCTCTAGATGTACAAGTTGTATGTGTCTCTTGATGTACAAGTTGTGTGTGTGTCTCTAGATGTACAAGTTGTGTGTGTCTCTAGATGTACAAGTTGTATGTGTAGATGTACAAGTTGTGTGTGTGTCTCTAGATGTACAAGTTTTGTGTGTCTCTAGATGTACAAGTTGTATGTGTCTCTAGATGTACAAGTTGTATGTGTCTCTAGATGTACAAGTTGTGTGTGTCTCTAGATGTACAAGTTGTATGTGTCTCTTGATGTACAAGTTGTGTGTGTGTCTCTAGATGTACAAGTTGTATGTGTCTCTAGATGTACAAGTTGTATGTGTCTCTAGATGTACAAGTTGTATGTGTCTCTTGATGTACAAGTTGTGTGTGTCTATAGATGTACAAGTTGTATGTGTCTCTAGATGTACAAGTTGTATGTGTCTCTAGATGTACAAGTTGTGTGTCTCTAGATGTACAAGTTGTGTGTGTCTCTAGATGTACAAGTTGTGTGTGTCTCTAGATGTACAAGTTGTATGTGTCTAGATGTACAAGTTGTATGTGTCTCTTGATGTACAAGTTGTGTGTGTCTCTAGATGTACAAGTTGTATGTGTCTCTAGATGTACAAGTTGTATGTGTCTCTAGATGTACAAGTTGTATGTGTCTCTAGATGTACAAGTTGTATGTGTCTCTAGATGTACAAGTTGTATGTGTCTCTAGATGTACAAGTTGTGTGTGTCTCTAGATGTACAAGTTGTGTGTGTCTCTAGATGTACAAGTTGTATGTGTCTCTAGATGTACAAGTTGTGTGTGTCTCTAGATGTACAAGTTGTATGTGTAGATGTACAAGTTGTATGTGTCTCTAGATGTACAAGTTGTATGTGTCTCTAGATGTACAAGTTGTATGTGTCTCTAGATGTTCAAGTTGTATGTGTCTCTAGATGTACAAGTTGTATGTGTCTCTTGCTGTACAAGTTGTATGTGTAGAAGTACAAGTTGTGTGTGTCTCTAGATGTACAAGTTGTATATGTCTCTAGATGTACACGTTGTATGTGTCTCTAGATGTACAAGTTGTATGTGTCTCTAGATGTACAAGTTGTATGTGTCTCTAGATGTACAAGTTGTATGTGTCTCTAGATGTACAAGTTGTGTGTGTCTCTAGATGTACAAGTTGTATGTGTCTCTAGATGTACAAGTTGTATGTGTCTCTAGATGTACAAGTTGCATGTGTCTCTAGATGTACAAGTTGTGTGTGTCTCTAGATGTACAAGTTGTATGTGTCTCTTGATGTAAAGTTGTATGTGTAGATGTACAAGTTGTATGTGTAGATGTACAAGTTGTATGTGTCTCTTGATGTACAAGTTGTATGTGTCTCTAGATGTACAACTTGTATGTGTCTCTAGATGTACAAGTTGTATGTGTCTCTAGATGTACAAGTTGTATGTGTAGATGTACAAGTTGTATGTGCCTCTAGATGTACAAGTTGTATGTGTCTCTTGATGTAAAGTTGTATGTGTAGATGTACAAGTTGTATGTGTAGATGTACAAGTTGTATGTGTCTCTTGATGTACAAGTTGTATGTGTCTCTAGATGTACAACTTGTATGTGTCTCTAGATGTACAAGTTGTATGTGTCTCTAGATGTACAAGTTGTATGTGTAGATGTACAAGTTGTATGTGCCTCTAGATGTACAAGTTGTATGTGTCTCTAGATGTACAAGTTGTATGTGTAGATGTACAAGTTGTATGTGTCTCTTGATGTACAAGTTGTATGTGTCTCTTGCTGTACAAGTTGTATGTGTAGATGTACAAGTTGTATGTGTCTCTAGATGTACAAGTTGTATGTGTCTCTTGATGTACAAGTTGTGTGTGTGTCTCTAGATGTACAAGTTGTGTGTGTCTCTAGATGTACAAGTTGTATGTGTAGATGTACAAGTTGTGTGTGTGTCTCTAGATGTACAAGTTGTGTGTCTCTAGATGTACAAGTTGTGTGTGTCTCTAGATGTACAAGTTGTGTGTGTCTCTAGATGTACAAGTTGTATGTGTCTAGATGTACAAGTTGTATGTGTCTCTTGATGTACAAGTTGTGTGTGTCTCTAGATGTACAAGTTGTATGTGTCTCTAGATGTACAAGTTGTATGTGTCTCTAGATGTACAAGTTGTATGTGTCTCTAGATGTACAAGTTGTATGTGTCTCTAGATGTACAAGTTGTATGTGTCTCTAGATGTACAAGTTGTGTGTGTCTCTAGATGTACAAGTTGTGTGTGTCTCTAGATGTACAAGTTGTATGTGTCTCTAGATGTACAAGTTGTGTGTGTCTCTAGATGTACAAGTTGTATGTGTAGATGTACAAGTTGTATGTGTCTCTAGATGTACAAGTTGTATGTGTCTCTAGATGTACAAGTTGTATGTGTCTCTAGATGTACAAGTTGTATGTGTCTCTAGATGTACAAGTTGTATGTGTCTCTTGCTGTACAAGTTGTATGTGTAGAAGTACAAGTTGTGTGTGTCTCTAGATGTACAAGTTGTATGTGTCTCTAGATGTACAAGTTGTATGTGTCTCTAGATGTACAAGTTGTATGTGTCTCTAGATGTACAAGTTGTATGTGTCTCTAGATGTACAAGTTGTATGTGTCTCTAGATGTACAAGTTGTGTGTGTCTCTAGATGTACAAGTTGTATGTGTCTCTAGATGTACAAGTTGTATGTGTCTCTAGATGTACAAGTTGCATGTGTCTCTAGATGTACAAGTTGTGTGTGTCTCTAGATGTACAAGTTGTATGTGTCTCTTGATGTAAAGTTGTATGTGTAGATGTACAAGTTGTATGTGTAGATGTACAAGTTGTATGTGTCTCTTGATGTACAAGTTGTATGTGTCTCTAGATGTACAAGTTGTATGTGTCTCTAGATGTACAAGTTGTATGTGTCTCTAGATGTACAAGTTGTATGTGTAGATGTACAAGTTGTATGTGCCTCTAGATGTACAAGTTGTATGTGTCTCTAGATGTACAAGTTGTATGTGTCTCTAGATGTACAAGCTGTATGTGTCTCTAGATGTACAAGTTGTATGTGTCTCTAGATGTACAAGTTGTATGTGTCTCTAGATGTACTAGTTGTATGTGTCTCTAGATGTACTAGTTGTGTGTCTCTAGATGTACAAGTTGTATGTGTCTCTAGATGTACAAGTTGTATGTGTCTCTAGATGTACAAGTTGTATGTGTCTCTAGATGTACAAGTTGTGTGTGTCTCTAGATGTACAAGTTGTATGTGTCTCTAGATGTACAAGTTGTATGTGTCTCTAGATGTACAAGTTGTGTGTGTCTCTAGATGTACAAGTTGTATGTGTCTCTAGATGTACAAGTTGTATGTGTCTCTAGATGTACAAGTTGTATGTGTCTCTTGATGTACAAGTTGTATGTGTCTCTAGATGTACAAGTTGTATGTGTCTCTAGATGTACAAGTTGTGTGTGTCTCTAGATGTACAAGTTGTATGTGTAGATGTACAAGTTGTATGTGTCTCTAGATGTACAAGTTGTATGTGTCTAGATGTACAAGTTGTGTGTGTAGATGTACAAGTTGTATGTGTCTAGATGTACAAGTTGTGTGTGTAGATGTACAAGTTGTATGTGTCTCTAGATGTACAAGTTGTATGTGTCTAGATGTACAAGTTGTGTGTCTAGATGTACAAGTTGTGTGTCTAGATGTACAAGTTGTATGTGTCTAGATGTACAAGTTGTATGTGTCTAGATGTACAAGTTGTATGTGTCTCTAGATGTACAAGTTGTATGTGTCTCTAGATGTACAAGTTGTATGTGTCTCTAGATGTACAAGTTGTATGTGTCTCTAGATGTACAAGTTGTATGTTTCTCTAGATGTACAAGTTGTATGTGTCTCTAGATGTACAAGTTGTATGTGTCTCTAGATGTACTAGTTGTATGTGTCTCTAGATGTACTAGTTGTGTGTCTCTAGATGTACAAGTTGTATGTGTCTCTAGATGTACAAGTTGTATGTGTCTCTAGATGTACAAGTTGTATGTGTCTCTAGATGTACAAGTTGTGTGTGTCTCTAGATGTACAAGTTGTATGTGTCTCTAGATGTACAAGTTGTATGTGTCTCTAGATGTACAAGTTGTGTGTGTCTCTAGATGTACAAGTTGTATGTGTCTCTAGATGTACAAGTTGTATGTGTCTCTAGATGTACAAGTTGTATGTGTCTCTTGATGTACAAGTTGTGTGTGTCTCTAGATGTACAAGTTGTATGTGTCTCTAGATGTACAAGTTGTATGTGTCTCTAGATGTACAAGTTGTATGTGTCTCTTGATGTACAAGTTGTATGTGTCTCTAGATGTACAAGTTGTATGTGTCTCTAGATGTACAAGTTGTGTGTGTCTCTAGATGTACAAGTTGTATGTGTAGATGTACAAGTTGTATGTGTCTCTAGATGTACAAGTTGTATGTGTCTCTTGCTGTACAAGTTGTATGTGTCTCTAGATGTACAAGTTGTATGTGTCTCTAGATGTACAAGTTGTGTGTGTCTCTAGATGTACAAGTTGTATGTGTCTCTAGATGTACAAGTTGTATGTGTCTCTAGATGTACAAGTTGTGTGTGTCTCTAGATGTACAAGTTGTGTGTGTCTCTAGATGTACAAGTTGTATGTGTCTCTAGATGTACAAGTTGTATGTGTCTCTAGATGTACAAGTTGTATGTGTCTCTTGATGTACAAGTTGTATGTGTCTCTAGATGTACAAGTTGTATGTGTCTCTAGATGTACAAGTTGTATGTGTCTCTAGATGTACAAGTTATGTGTGTCTCTAGATGTACAAGTTGTGTGTGTAGATGTACAAGTTGTATGTGTCTCTAGATGTACAAGTTGTATGTGTCTCTAGATGTACAAGTTGTATGTGTCTTTAGTCATCAGAAATGGAAACAACTACAACTCCTACTAAGGTGGGGAGGGTGGGGGGCTTAACATTAGTCACATGACCTTGGTCACATGACCTTGGTCACATGACCTTACCTTGGGTGCATCTGGTGCAATTAGTTCCAGAGGAGAACCTGGCAGTGGGTGAAGGGTCAGCGTCTGCTTTATCATCAGACTACCTAGATCAGAACATACAAGATCAGAACATACAAGATCAGAACATACAAGATCAGAACATACAAGATCAAAACATACAAGATCAGAACATACAAGATCAAAACATACAAGATCAGAACATACAAGATCAGAACATACAACACTGCCCTAAAATCTTTACCTTTAATGAGAGGGATGAGGTCGATGCAACATTGCCCTATAATGTTGGTTTTTTCTTCTTTCTGTTTCTTCTCTTTTGTAAACACTTCAGTCACAGTTACTGAAATACATTCATTACACTCAAAGTTTAAAAAAACAAATGTTAGCAATAATTGCATCAATGCAATTACCACGACATTACACTAAAGTAAAAATAAAACCTGTACATGACAGGTGTGTGGGACAGGTGTGTGTGTGGGAAAGGTGTATGTGGGACAGGTGTGTGGGACAGGTGTGTGTGGGACATGTGTGTGTGTGGGACAGGTGTGTGGGACAGGTGTGTGTGTGGGACAGGTGTGTGTGACAGGTGTGTGTGTGGGACAGGTGTGTGGGACAGGTGTGTGTGTGGGACAGGTGTGTGTGGGACAGGTGTGTGTGTGGGACAGGTGTGTGGGACAGGTGTGTGTGTGGGACAGGTGTGTGTGGGACAGGTGTGTGTGTGGGACAGGTGTGTGTGTGGGACAGGTGTGTGGGACAGGTGTGTGTGTGGGACAGGTGTGTGTGTGGGACAGGTGTGTGGGACAGGTGTGTGGGACAGGTGTGTGTGGGACAGGTGTGTGGGACAGGTGTGTGTGTGGGACAGGTGTGTGGGACGGGTGTGTGTGTGGGACAGGTGTGTGTGTGTGTGGGACAGGTGTGTGTGTGAACAGGTGTGTGTGGGACAGGTGTGTGTGTGGGACAGGTGTGTGTGGGGGACAGATGTGTGGGACAGGTGTGTGGGACAGGTGTGTGGGACTGGTGTGTGTGTGGGACAGGTGTGTGGGACAGGTGTGTGTGGGGGACTGGTGTGTGTGTGGGACAGGTGTGTGGGACAGGTGTGTGTGGGGGACAGGTGTGTGTGTGGGACAGGTGTGTGGGACAGGTGTGTGTGGGGGACAGGTGTGTGTGGGACAGGTGTGTGGGACAGGTATGTGTGGGACTGGTGTGTGTGGGGGACTGGTGTGTGTGTGGGACAGGTGTGTGGGACAGGTGTGTGGGACAGGTGTGTGTGGGACAGGTGTGTGTAGGACAGGTGTGTGTGTGGGACAGGTGTGTGGGACAGGTGTGTGTGTGGGACAGGTGTGTGTGTGGGACAGGTGTGTGTGTGGGACAGGTGTGTGTGTGGGACAGGTGTGTGTGTGGGACAGGTGTGTGTGGGACAGGTGTGTGGGACAGGTGTGTGGGACAGGTGTGTGTGTGGGACAGGTGTGTGGGACAGGTGTGTGTGTGGGACAGGTGTGTGTGTGGGACAGGTGTGTGTGTGAACAGGTGTGTGTGGGACAGGTGTGTGGGACAGGTGTGTGTGTGGGACAGGTGTGTGTGTGGGACAGGTGTGTGGGACAGGTGTGTGTGTGGGACAGGTGTGTGTGACAGGTGTGTGTGTGGGACAGGTGTGTGGGACAGGTGTGTGGGACAGGTGTGTGTGTGGGACAGGTGTGTGTGTGGGACAGGTGTGTGGGACAGGTGTGTGTGTGGGACAGGTGTGTGGGACAGGTGTGTGTGGGACAGGTGTGTGGGACAGGTGTGTGTGTGGGACAGGTGTGTGTGGGACAGGTGTGTGTGAACAGGTGTGTGTGTGGGACAGGTGTGTGTGGGACAGGTGTGTGGGACAGGTGTGTGTGTGGGACAGGTGTGTGGGACAGGTGTGTGTGGGACAGGTGTGTGGGACAGGTGTGTGGGACAGGTGTGTGTGTGGGACAGGTGTGTGGGACAGGTGTGTGGGACAGGTGTGTGGGACAGGTGTGTGTGGGACAGGTGTGTGGGACAGGTGTGTGTGGGGGACAGGTGTGTGTGGGACAGGTGTGTGGGACAGGTGTGTGTGTGGGACAGGTGTGTGTGTGGGACAGGTGTGTGGGACAGGTGTGTGTGTGGGACAGGTGTGTGTGTGGGACAGGTGTGTGTGGGACAGGTGTGTGTGGGACAGGTGTGTGGGACAGGTGTGTGTGTGGGACAGGTGTGTGGGACAGGTGTGTGTGGGACAGATGTGTGGGACAGGTGTGTGTGTGAACAGGTGTGTGGGACAGGTGTGTGTGGGACAGGTGTGTGGGACAGGTGTGTGTGGGACAGGTGTGTGTGGGACAGGTGTGTGTGTGAACAGGTGTGTGTGGGACAGGTGTGTGTGTGGGACAGGTGTGTGTGTGGGACAGGTCTGTGGGACAGGTGTGTGGGACAGGTGTGTGTGGGACAGGTGTGTGGGGGACAGGTGTGTGGGGGACAGGTGTGTGTGGGATAGGTGTGTGTGTGAACAGGTGTGTGTGTGTGGGACAGGTGTGTGTGTGGGACAGGTGTGTGGGACAGGTGTGTGTGTGGGACAGGTGTGTGTGGGACAGGTGTGTGTGTGGGACAGGTGTGTGTGTGGGACAGGTGTTTGTGGGACAGGTGTGTGTGTGGGACATTTGTGTGGGACAGGTGTGTGTGTGGGACAGGTTTGTGTGGGACAGGTGTGTGGGACAGGTGTGTGTGGGACAGGTGTGTGTGGGACAGGTGTGTGGGACAGGTGTGTGGGGTGTGAGGGACCTGACTTACACACAACTGGCTTGTGGGTGATCTCGTCCACTGAGACTGGGTCCTCTGGATTACAGCTGAGATTGACACTGAAGTTACACTCCAGGCTGGAGTCTCCAGCAGATTCAAGCTTTGCACTCTCTCCAATGACCTTGTCACCAAACTCTAGTTTGATTGTTACTGTCAGTGAGTCACCTTTGGATCCTCTCTGAAAGAAATGTCAAGTAGACCAAGACATAATGGCACCAACAAATGGAGGAGAGCGGAGGTGGAGGAACATACTTACCAAGTGTTTAGCCTTGAGCACGGTGACATTGATGGCTTCAGTTGAGCGCTGTAAGTTGTCTGTGTCAGAGGCCATTTTCTCTGCAAGACAAAACACATTTTTCATTGACTGGACACTTGGAGAGTCAGACTCTTTTAACAAAAAATAAATAGCAAATAATAAAGCAGATGAAGTAGTTTGTGCCTTATAACCGAACTCAAGAGATTTTGGAATTCAAGGACACTGATGGCTGAGGGTGGTCAAAACTGGGGTAGCCTTCCATATCTGGTGTTTTGTCTTTTGCCTGCTTCTCCCCCCCCCCCCCCCACCCACATCACTACAAAATGTCAGGCTCCCCCCCCCCCCCCCCCACTCCAGTTAACCGCCAACATCAAGAGAAAATTAACACAGATGAAAGGCAATATCATGTAATCATATATATATATATATATATATATATATATATATATATATATATATATATATATATATATATATATATATATATATATATATATATATATATATATATATATATATTTATATATAGATCTAGAAGCTAAATCAAACTTTCCTTTAACCTTTAGGCCTAGCTATCTAGCATGCGTGATAGTAGATCTAAGATCTATATAATTTATCCTATGTGAACATAATTTTTTTTAAAAATTTGCTTGAGGGGGGGGGGGGGGGGGGGATGGTTGGTAAGAAGAGAGAAGTGAAGACAGACGATCTCGTGAACTTGTGTTCATTCTATGACGTATGCTTTAGGCCTGCTGAACACACAGTGACCTCGCCGATCGTTGGCCGTGGTGGGATTTTTCACTCACGTGATAGTAAAGGTAAGGCAAGACAGCAATCACGCCAGTGACGATGTTTGGAAATTTTATTAAAAAAAAACAACATAGTCTACGTCATATTTTCAATATAAAATAAACCGGGAGTGATCTCCCATAAACTTTCTCGAATATTCTTATATAAAACAACAGAGGATGGGAACTCGGGATATAGTTATGATTTTTAATCCATTTTAAATACTTAAACTTTTATAAATAAACTTTTAAAAATAGAATAGAATCTCATAGAAAAAAGAATTGCGCACCAAGCGAACGCCAAATAAAGATGTTAATAATAGTGCACAATATTATTAGTACTTTATAAATTTACATTCGTTTTTTGAGAAATCGGAAATAGCGTAAATTAGTACTTCCGGTCAACGGAAATTACTCAAAATTTGAAAGAATGGAGAGATATAGATCTTTTACTTACATGTGAAATTTCATTTATCTATCTGAAATAGTACTCGTTATAGGCTTTTGAAAAATTCAAAGTAGAAAAAGTAACACTTCCGATTATCGGAAATCGCTCAAAAGTTGATACGAATCTACGATTTTGATAAAATACTTATATATAAAATTTCATCAACCTAGCTGTAACGGTACTCAAGTTATCGTGTTTACACACACACAAACAGACACACACACAGACAAGATTGCAAAATTATGTTTTTCCGTATCAGTGAGGTGTAAAACGTCGAGATTTGTAAAAATCTCTTTTTTTTTTTTTTTTTTGCACGATTACAAGACTTTCTCTATACTTTCTATATACGAGAAAGTAAAAAAATGTAAAAAAAAACAAACTAGTACCGGCCGAGCTAACCCCGGGTTTGAACTTGGTACTCCGGGTCTATGAACAAGTCTACAGCTGGCACACTGTTGACTCAACCACACTGGATGTGATAGAGAAGTAAAAAGTAAGCATTTTCAATTACAAGATGGCACATCCATCCTGCGAGACGCGTAGTCTATTTTTTAGGGGCCACGCTCTGCGAGACGCGTAGTCACTTAAAAAAATATATAACTAGGCCTAACCAATAGAGTTAAATCCAACCTACATGTTACATAATACATAACTACTCAAGGATCTACTATAATTATATTAGGCATAGGCCTCCAGTACATAATACATAAAACATAGTCATAGTAAAATTAAATTACTAAAATCTGAATTAGTAGGACTGCCTATCCAATTCCTATTCATAAATATTAAATGGTAATCTATCGTTTTAGGTGCGTAAAATCGGCAGAGGTAATGTGAAAAAAAGTTGCCTCATTGTTAAGGGTTTAAATTGAGTATATTGAATTGTTGTAATATATTTGTGTCAACTATTATAGATACCTGAATAATAAACTAAACTCAATAGCTAAATATATCAATATATGCCAGTAATTTACTTTAAACAGCAGTGTTTGCTAGCAATATTTGCTATATAGTATATAGACAGTGGCCATTTGTAAATTAGAGTGGTTCCTCTGAATCTCGCACTATAGGGCCTAATCTTACAAAAAAAAAAAACTCTAACAAGATGGCTGCTAAAGTAAATAATAAGCTTGGTTGTATCTGATGAAAACATCACTAGTCTTTATTTACTACTAAAAAGTTTTTATACAACTGTTTAAAAACAGGTACATGAATGAAACTCCGAAACATTTTTGTAACTTTCAAAACATAAATTATAAATCCTCCTAAGATGTGAAATAATTATGAAAATTTTATGAGTCACCTTTTCTTCACATTACTAGTCTCGTCCGATTTAACATACCTAACTAAAACAATAGATTTTAGATTACCACTAGATTATAGATCTATAAATCACTTCACTATCATATTAATATTTATCATTAAATTAAAAAAATATATATATAAATAGGCCTAGGCCTAAACTAATTTATTTTAATTTAAATTTACTAGGCCTAGGCCTAAAATTTATTTTAATATAATTTATTAATTTTACACTAGTCGCTAGACTATCTTATTTAGGCCTATAGTTTATTATTTTGTTATATTTTTAAAATGTATTCAGATCTAGACGTCTAGATCTAAATGTTAAGCAAATTATCCCCTATTAAAAAATGTTGGTACTGAACTTACTTGACTAAAATTGAAAAATAATTTAACTATCCAAATCAATTCATATTATTCATAACATTTTATTGTTCCTGTTGCCCACAGCAACGATGATCATTAAACATTTCTGTTATTAAAAGAGTTCCTTGGGTTAAATAAAAAATTGAAATCTTAGTGTTAGCAGAAAAGTGACAATTAATTTTTTTTTTTTAAATCAACGAGATAAATTTGGAATCGATGGTATTTATTTACTGATTAATTTATGAATAGACGTAAATGAAAGCGGTAATTCAGCGTGTATTGAAAGCACATGTAACAGGTAGATTTTAGATTTAATCAAAGATCTAGACCTAGAAAGCACCTGAATTTACAATGAATTTAGCTAGTTTAACTTTAACTAGATCTTAGGCCTATTGGGAAATTTTTCCTAATTATCATAGAATGATAAAATGGACCCAGATTAATCCTATAATATACCCCATTGATAAAAATATCAAATTTATCATTCTAGGCCTAATAGTTTTTTTTATATGAATTTTTAAAGTTATGTGTTTAACTTGTTATGTTTCATTGTAACCTGCATTCCAGACGTGTGATTGGCTTTAAACTTGCATACCAATGTTGCTATTAAAGATATAATGATAAAACTTTGCACATTTGTACTCAATGATATAGGCAATAGAAGTCTACAAATAAAATAAAAATTAGAAAAGAGGTAACTAGAAATAATGAAGTTAAATTAAAGGGTGTGGCACTGTTCTATAGTGACTGCCATAAGAGGATTTCCAGACTGTACAGCTAGGTTGCTATTCCATATACCATCATGAAACTTTATATATTAGGACTAGAGCATGTAAAAAATACAATCATGCAAGTAAAATAAACATAGCTAGAGGAAAACTATAAATAGTGAACTTGAATATGGTACAGCGCAATTAGACTATGATGATTAACTACACTGGCTAATATGTTGCACTTCTTTGTTGCTACTATAAAAATAAAGATTAAACTTTACATATTGATTCTGGTGTTAGTAATAAGAATGCTAGTATACATATTGTACAGGTAATGTATAGAGTTAGAACTTACAAGTCAAATACAGCACAATATGATCAAGATACTTAACGATTTGCCATAAACATTGGATTTGTGTCCGTGTATAACATGGTAAAAATGTTATTATTAATTTAGAAAATTTTGGTTCTTGTAATGTTTCTGATGAAAAGTGTTGAGATGTGCTAAAACTCAAAGATTGACATTTCACAGTATTCTTATTTATAAAATGTTTAGTGAAGTTGACGTATCCTTTGATAAATTCTTAAATGACATTAATTTAAGTTTTCATGTTTTCTATCTATTATAGTTGCCTATAACTAAAACTGTAATGCAGTGCAGCTTATAAAATTGGGCATTATTACTTTTAATTTAGGCCCTTTATAGTACTTTATAGATCTAGATACTACAGATAGGCCTGTCAGTATTTACATTAAGGCCTAATAGTTTATATATATATATATATATATATATATATATATATATATATATATATATATATATATTATTATTATTACACATCTCTAGACCCATTATTATTTTAGTGTTTTCATTTCCATTTAGATCTAGATTCTATTTTTTTTAAACTGTTTACAATAAATATAGATTTTTTCTACTTGAAAATGCCTTTATAATCTATTTATCTGCAATTTATTAATGCTAGTTTGCTAGATCTAGTTAACCTGGTATTAAGAAGGTTAATAAAAATCTGGCTAATTAAAAATTTTATAATTTATTTAGGCAGCAATTAGGCCTAATTACATTCTTTCCATTTTTAATCTAATAATTTAGATCTACAGTATATTTATTTTAAAGCCCATTTTATCGTAACAGTCCATTTAAAAACAAACAGCTATTAAAAAACATCGTATGCGCATATCTCGTAACCCGGCCGCCATTATAAAATTACGCACACTTTCTCGTTCCTACCCCTATGAGTTTTATCGCGCTACTCCTCATTGGCCCGTGCTTAAAAACCCTTCAAATCGACATTTCTATTTATCCAAATGGTTGGCATGCTATTTAAGCCTATTTTCATACAATTTAGAGGATTATTTATATCTGAAATTTAGTTGTCAATGCGCCAGTTCGGTAGCGTCGGCATTTCGACAAATATTTGCTATTATCGGTGATCGCTTTCGGTATCGGACAATGTAAAACGGGAGCTAATTCATTTATTAGTATGTATAAAAGATGAAATTCAACTCAAATATTCATATCGAATACATTTTATTCTTCGATTCCGATGGCGAGAATTAACATGTTAAAAAATGGCGAATTTCAACAAGTACGATGAAAAAGTCAGGATGTGGTCGTACCGAATCGAAACAGCGGAAGTCGAAATGCCTAACTAGATCTAGATCTAGATCTAGATCTAATTAATTATTCTAATAGAAAATAGGTAATTTATCGTTTTGGGTACGTAAAATTATATAATAAAATACTTAAAAAAACTTTTAAAAAAACCACGTTTTTCTTGTGGACTAAAAAGTAGAAAATAACTATTTACATACATTTGATGACAAAAAACGTGGGTACGTTCACCATCAAATTTCCCGACCCATCTGCCCGACCCACGTTTTTAGTCATCAAATGTATGTAAATAGTTATTTTCTACTTTTTAGTCCACAAGAAAAACGTGGTTTTTTAAAAAGTTTTTTTAAGTATTTTATTTTCTCCTTTTTAGTCCGTTGCTACACATAAAAAACGTGGTTTTTAAAAAAGTTTTTTATATAGTTTATTTTCTACTTTATCTAATGACTTGATTAAGTATGACTTGACTAAGTGTTTATAAATACACGGACTAAAAAAATCTTGAGCGACCAGGATTCGAACCTGGGTTGTCGCGGCCACAACGCGAAGTACTAACCACTATACGATCACGGCCAGCGAGCTCACATCGATTGGGGCCGAAGTAAATGTGTCAATATGCCTCCAGTCTTGTCGGTATCTTTAGAAATCATGTCCTCAGTTTTATGGTCCTTCGGGCGTAATTAAATTAAGCTAATTACGGTCTCTAATTGCTAGTTTTTATGATTGCATCTGAAATTGTTAGGCGAAAGTAGCCTGCCTGCCAAATTTCAGAGCTCTAGAGCAATCAGAAGTGGGTTAATTTTCGATGTCAATTTTAACAACAAACAAACAAACGCGAAGCTGAGTTAAGAAAAACGTTTTAAAATCGCCCGCGACTAGTAATGTGAAAAACAGGTGACTCCTTACATTTTAATAATTAGTTCACATTTTGAGGAGGATTTATGTTTTGAAAAATACAAAAATGTTTCCTTGTTTCATTTATGTACCTGTTTTTAAACAATTGAATTAAAACTTTTCAGTAATAAATGAACACCAGCGATGTTTCCAAAAGATTTAACCATGCTCATTTACTATAGCAGCCATCTTGTTAAAGTTTTATTTTTATAGACTTATAGCGCGAGATTCAGGCGGAAGTCACTCTATTTTACAAATGGCTGCTGTTTATATAGCAAATCTTGCTTGCAGACACTGCTGTTTAAAGTTAACTTCTGGCCTATATTGATATATTTAATATTAGCCATTGATTTAGGTTTATTATTCATTTAGGCCTATCTATAATATTTGACACAAACATATCACAATATACTTCTATTACAGCCTTGACAATTAGGTAACGTTTTCGTACATTAATAGTCGCGGGCAATTTTACGTACCCAAAATAATAGATTACCAAAAAATAATATTAGTAGTTAATTAATAATTAGTTATTAGGATTATTTTAAAATTATTAGGCCTATTGTTATTATTAAATTAATTTAATTAATATAGATCTAGATTCCATACTAGATCTATATAGGCCTACTATATTTAGATTAATTAACTTTTTGTGCAAAGTCTTTAATGCTGGAAAAAAAAAATTCCAATGCCAGTGTCATCATCATCATTTCCTTTGTGGCCCCTGGGGAGCAATGGGCTGCAACTACACATTTTTAGCGAACTTGGTTTTGTTGCCTCTTCCTCAACCGTTCTTATCCATGTTTTCTTTGGCCCGCCCACTTTCATTTTTCACTGGGGATTCCAGTCCAAAGCATGTTTTGCGATGTTTTCTTTTTCTCTTCTTAACGTGTGTCCGATCCATCCCCATTTACGGGCCTTGATATCTTTCTCTATTGGCTGTTGCTTTAAAATTTGCCACAGGTCTTTGTTTGATATTTTGTCTGGCCATCTTATTTTAAGTATATGACGTATGCATTTGTTTATGGACGCCTGTAGCCTATTAGTATTTGTCTTTGTAACCCTCCAAGTCTCCATGCCACATAGCAACACTGTCTTGACGTTTATGTTGAAAATCCCTATTTTGCTCCCGAGTGACAGGGCCGTGGACCTCCACATCGGGCGCAGTGAGTTGAAGACACATCTAGCCTTGTTGATATGGCATTTTATGTCCTCGTCTGCTCCCCCGTCCTTATTGATCACGTTTTCACAGAAGCATATTAAAATATCTTAGAAATGAATTTGTATAGGCCTAGGGTGGCGGGTCATGGTATTAAAAAAAAAATCGAACTTTATATTTTTGTGTCGTATGACTATTTGTACAAAATTAACATGCCATGCCGCCCATGCTTTTTAAATTGACAGAGGGCAAGTATACCATGTAACAAAAAACTGGAATCTTAACAAATAATTCATATTTTCACTTTAAAAATGATAAAAACAATCATCAATGAGAAAAGTGCAGTGCATTCTATTTTTAGGTATGACGTGACATGACTAATAAATCTAGCCAAATGATTGGATTTTGGTGCGGCACACATTTTCCCGCGCTTTGATTTTGGCAAAAAGATTATAATAAAATGGCATTATGTGGGGGGGGGGGTTGATATTTCGGTGACCAGAAAGATGCGCAGTGGAAAAAAGCACAAAACAAAAAGCGCAAAGGAAAAAACGCAAACAGAAAAAAGCGCAATGGAAAAAAACGCAAACAGAAAAAAGCGCAAACAGAAAAAAGCGCAAACAGAAAAAAGCGTACACAGAAAAAAGCGCACACAGAAAAATGCTCACACAGAAAAAAGCGCAAGCGGAAAAAAGTGCAAGAATTTTTAATTTTTTTTGTGGGAATATTTAGATGGGGCTGGGGGGGGGGGGGGGGGGGAGGAGGAGTTGTAATTTAGTGATGGGGTTAGGGTGGAGAGATGGCTCGTAATGTCACACTAGTGCATTTAAAAAATTAATGCTAGAAACTGTATTTTAGCTGTAGTTTCAGTTTTTGCAAATTGTAATAGAAATGTTTTAACCAAGCTGAGACAATATTCTGGAAAGAAAAAAAAAATATATGACTACTATTGCTTTAAATTTTGAGGGAGTTTTAGGTTAAGGTGTAATTTCATTTTGGTGACGGCTTTTGTGATGGTGTTAAAAATCATCAAGAGTGACCTCATTTATGGATGCCGCTAAAAGAAATAATGAGAAAACTTGTGATCAATGTGGTCTAATGTTGATCACATTATTGTAAGCTCTGCCATACTGATGGTGGAAATGTCTTTATACGTCACTGGTTTAGTGGTGACTGGCCATCTAATGAGTGTGGTGACTGGCCATCTAATGAGTGTGGTGACTGGCCATCTAATGAGTGTGGTGACTGGCCATCTAATGAGTGTGGTGATTGGCCATCTAATGAGTGTGGTGACTGGCCATCTATAGAGTGTGGTGACTGGCCATCTAATGAGTGATGTTTGTGATTTCAGTTGGCAATGAGACTGTCAGCTCCATTGGTCCTGGGCTGTGTGTCCTTGTGGGTGTGTCTCGACATGATACTGACACAGAAATGGACTACATGTGAGTACGACAAACATATCCTGCAACATTACCAACATGACATTACCAACACGACGTAATGACATAACCAACGTAACCTAACCATCATAACGTAATGACATTACAAACATAACATAACCAACACAACATTACCAACATAATATAACCAACACAACGTAATGACATTACCAACATGACATTACCAACATGACATAACAAACACAACATAACCAACACAACCAACATAACATAACCAACACAACGAAATGACGTTACCAACATAACATAACCAACATTACATAACCAACACGACATAACCAACACAACATAATGACATTACCAACATAACATAACCAACATTACATAACAAACATGAATAACCAACACGACATTACCAACCCAACATAACCAACATAATAGAACCAACATAATAGAACCAACATAAAATAACCAACACAACATAACCAACACAACATAACCAACACTACATAACCAACATGACATAACCAACATGACATAACCAACACTACATAACCAACATAACATAATCAACATGACATAACAAACACGATGTAACCAACACTACATAATGACATTACCAACATGACATTACCAACATGACATAACCAACATGACATAACCAACATAATGTAACGAACATGACATAACCAACATGACATAACCAACATGACATAACCAACATGCCATAACCATACATTCAATGCTTCAGTAAGTTGGTTGTTAAACAGAAGTTTTTGTCTGCTTAGTGTGAGGAAAATTTTAAATCTGCGCCTGTTCAGTGATGGCAGTGACAAAAGGTGGATGAAAAGTGTCATGGATATGGATTATGATGTTTTATGCATCAGCCAGGTGCGTGTCTGACTTTTTTTTAATTAGAGGTGACACTACAAATAGTAAACTGTTCCAACAAAACTTTGATCATCAGATCTAAATGTTGAAATTAAAGGGTTTTAATTAGTTGAACTTTTATGGCATTATTTAAAATTACATAGTAGCTACTGATTTTTACACTTGCAGCGATTTGTTGTGCACTTGGTTGTGCAATTGCAGCGAGTGTATCTTGGCCTCCGGTCAGTGATTGTTAAGATGCGATGGTTTGTAGTGATTTTTTCTCAGTGCTAATGGACGCGTATATGGTTGTTTTAGAACACCATGTTCCGTTCCTAGCTTGTAGAAAGCGCCCTCATGACAAACGCAATGATGCTTCGGGGATCACCGCGACCTCTGTCAACATCTGGTATACGGACGCAAACATTATCTCCCACTTCAGCTTGTTTAAAATTTGTATCTGATTTTGTTAGCATCTTAGCACCTTGAGTTTGCTAGTATGATCTGCTAACCTGTTGTACATAATTTCTTGTTTATTGTGACATATTCTGCGAGTACTGTTCCCTCCATACCCTTCGTCTGCTTTATTGTCTATTCCACATGTTGCAAGGACATCGTTGCCACAGGATCCACAACAATGGGCTGCACTACAACATTTTTCACAAACTACACAGAATCTGTTGGCCTTTTTACTGTCACGCAACTGTTCTGGACGTTCCACCACAGCAGTAGATGTGTTAGCTGAGGATGGCGTTGCATTTATGGCAACCTCCATTTCTTGTTCAATGTTCTCAAATCTTCCTCAGTAACTAAATTATCTCAAGCCTCTCTTGGTAGATTTGAAGTGCTAAGTCCCCCTTTTGCTTTGCATGCAAATATGGTTTCGTATGGCGATTGTTGGATTCTTTGATGAAAAGAACGGTTTTTAATAAATTGAATGAGTTTGAGACCGCCCATTGAGCTGATTCGTTTGTCTGCATCTATGTCATCATCATGTTTTGAACATCTTAGCTGGTATGTTCTACTGAACCTTGGCTTTGGCTATGCCTTGGTTTTACGTGAACTAGTTTAAGTTCAAGCCACATGTTCTTTAGCTCAGAAATATTTTGGCAGCCATCTGGTATGTCTGTCTCTTGGTCTGATGGCTCTTTTAGTCCATGTCACATTGCATATAGAATGCTTTACAAACAAGTGCCAAACAATACGTTACAATGAAAACACAATCACAATCTAGATAGGACATTGGCCAGGATATCCTGGCCAGTATGTGCATATAATATATATACATATATATATACATATATATATATACATATATATATACATATATATACATATATATTATATATAATAGAGATACCTCAAAATACTAATTATATTTGTTCTGTAACATTGCTTGTATCATATATATAAATACAACATATAAATAAATAGATATGTGTTTGAAAGAAAGTGTAGCCTATGAATTAGCAGAAATGCAAGCATTTAGCCGTGAGTTTTACAGTTCACCCTGGAGTCTACACTGAAGGGCAACAAACCAGACTTTAGGGAGGCCATGGCACCCGACCTGGCCCTCCCATTCTACAGCAAGTTGTTGCAAGCTTTAAAGTCCACGTACAGACCAGAGAAGATTCATGGTAAGTCTGGCCCTCCCATTCTACAGCAAGTTGTTGCAAGCTTTAAAGTCCACGTACAGACCAGAGAAGATTCATGGTAAGTCTGGCCCTCCCATTCTACAGCAAGTTGTTGCAAGCTTTAAAGTCCACGTACAGACCAGAGAAGATTCATGGTAAGTCTGGCCCTCCCATTCTACAGCAAGTTGTTGCAAGCTTTAAAGTCCACGTACAGACCAGAGAAGATTCATGGTAAGTCTGGCCCTCCCATTCTACAGCAAGTTGTTGCAAGCTTTAAAGTCCACGTACAGACCAGAGAAGATTCATGGTAAGTCTGGCCCTCCCATTCTACAGCAAGTTGTTGCAAGCTTTAAAGTCCACGTACAGACCAGAGAAGATTCATGGTAAGTCTGGCCCTCCCATTCTACAGCAAGTTGTTGCAAGCTTTAAAGTCCACGTACAGACCAGAGAAGATTCATGGTAAGTCTGGCCCTCCCATTCTACAGCAAGTTGTTGCAAGCTTTAAAGTCCACGTACAGACCAGAGAAGATTCATGGTAAGTCTGGCCCTCCCATTCTACAGCAAGTTGTTGCAAGCTTTAAAGTCCACGTACAGACCAGAGAAGATTCATGGTAAGTCTGGCCCTCCCGTTCTACAGCAAGTTGTTGCAAGCTTTAAAGTCCACGTACAGACCAGAGAAGATTCATGGTAAGTTTGCTCATCTACCCCTAGACTGCCACAACCATTGCCCTAAATATTAGACTCAATCAAGTAGAAGTACTAGAAGACTGCAATGAAAATGTATTTCGTTATTTTAATAATGATGTCAAACATTCAAAAACAGAAGTTTATTAAGATTTCTAACATTTTGAATTATATATTTTTTAATTGCTTCATTTATTTTTCAAAAACACATTTTTTCTTCAGCAAGTAATAGAACACATAAAAATAAAGTAATAAGATAAGCTAATATAAAATAATCAATGAGATGATATCAAATAATGAGATATGATATAAAGTAATGAGATAAGATGATATAAATGAGATATAAATATATATATATATATATATATATATATATATATATATATATATATATATATATATATATATATATAAGCGGGCTGGTAGTGTGTCAGTCCTTCCTTCCTTCATCACTATAGCTTTTGGAACTATAAAAGTAAACATCACACCATGCAGTGTTTTTCAGTGCATCACATTGTCTTATTATAAGTAAAAGAGTAGGGTTTGTTTATATAACGACATAGAGCTATTTTATAATTGCCGCCGTTTTTACTTTTTTGCATTACGTAAAGAAAATATTAAATACATGCACATTGCTATAACATATTAAAAGGATCAATGTCAAATATCATTTTCGATTATTATATGTTAAGGTTCATAATTAAAATAGAAAAATGTTAAGATTATTTATATTATTTTCTAATTAGTCTATGATCTCTCAAAATCACTATTTTTTGTTTTTCGGTGTTAACAGATAGTGAAATTTTAGAATTATAGTATAGAGAATGCTGGAAAAGCTCTCTCTGGGCGCGTACACCTCGGAAAAGCGTGTTTTCGGTGGTGATTCTAATGTTGTGGTTGTGTTGTGTTTGTGTTTTTCTTTGTTTTGTTCTGTTCTCAAGTTGGTACATTTAAAAAAGATTTACCGTGGTGGAGCATGGGTATGCAGCTAGTATATATATATATACATATTTATATGTTGTGGGCAGACAGTCATAGGGCATGTGCTCTGGCATGTCCTATTACGTCAAACCTTCATCTGGCCTTGAGATGTAACCTTCATCTGGCCTTGAGATGTAACCTTCATCTGGCCTTGGCATTGAGATGTATCCTTCATCTGGCCTTGAGATGTAACCATCTGGCCTTGAGATGTAACCATCTGGCCTTGAGATGTAACCTTCATCTGGCCTTGGCATTGAGATGTAACTATGAGGCAAAAGTTAGCAGCCAATGATACATACAAAATGTCCACATTTATCCAAGTTAATGCTATTCCCTCTCAACAGATGGACAGTTTGGAGCTTACATGCAAGTCCACATTGAAAATGATGGCCCTGTCACCATTCCCATAGAGAAAAAGGTCAGAGAGTATAGCCACCTCTAGTTGACCTCTAGTTGACCTGCCACCTCTAGTTGACCTCTAGTTGACCTGCCACCTCTAGTTGACCTGCCACCTCTAGTTGACCTCTAGTTGACCTGCCACCTCTAGTTGACCTCTAGTTGACCTGCCACCTCTAGTTGACCTGCCACCTCTAGTTGACCTGCCACCTCTAGTTGACCTGCCACCTCTAGTTGACCTGCCACCTCTAGTTGACCTGCCACATCTAGTTGACCTGCCACCTCTAGTTGACCTGCCACATCTAGTTGACCTGCCACCTCTAGTTGACCTGCCACCTTTAGTTGACCTGCCACATCTAGTTGACCTCTAGTTGACCTGCCACATCTCGTTGACCTCTAGTTGACCTGCCACATCTCGTTGACCTCTAGTTGACCTGTCACATCTAGTTGACCTGCCACCTCTAGTTGACCTGCCACATCTAGTTGACCTGCCACCTCTAGTTGACCTGCCACCTCTAGTTGACCTGCCACCTCTAGTTGACCTGCCACCTCTAGTTGACCTGCCACATCTAGCTGACCTGCCACCTCTAGTTGACCTGCCACCTCTAGCTGACCTGCCACCTCTAGTTGACCTGCCACCTCTAGTTGACCTGCCACATCTAGTTGACCTGCCACCTCTAGTTGACCTGCCACCTCTAGTTGACCCTCCACCTCTTGTTGACCTGCCACATCTAGTTGACCTGCCACATCTAGTTGACCTGCCACCTCTAGTTGACCTCTAGTTGACCTGCCACCTCTAGTTGACCTGCCACCTCTAGCTGACCTGCCACCTCTAGTTGACCTGCCACCTCTAGTTGACCTGCCACATCTAGTTGACCTGCCACCTCTAGTTGACCTGCCACCTCTAGTTGACCCTCCACCTCTTGTTGACCTGCCACATCTAGTTGACCTGCCACCTCTAGTTGACCTGCCACATCTAGTTGACCTCTAGTTGACCTGCCACATCTAGTTGACCTGCCACCTCTAGTTGACCTGCCACATCCAGTTGTCCTCTAGTTGACCTGCCACATTTAGTTGACCTGGCACCTCTAGTTGACCTGCCACATCTAGTTGACCTGCCACCTCTAGTTGACCTGCCACATCTAGTTGACCTGCCACCTCTAGTTGACCTGCCACATCTAGTTGACCTGCCACATCTAGTTGACCTGCCACCTCTAGTTGACCTGCCACATCTAGCTGACCTGCCACCTCTTGTTGACCTCTAGCTGACCTGCCACATATAGTTGACCTGCCACCTCTAGTTGACCTGCCACATCTAGTTGACCTGCCACATCTAGTTGACCTGCCACACCTAGTTGACCTGCCACCTCTAGTTGACCTGCCACCTCTAGCTGACCTGCCACATATAGTTGACCTGCCACCTCTAGTTGACCTGCCACCTCTAGTTGACCTGCCACCTCTAGTTGACCTGCCACCTCTAGTTGACCTGCCACCTCTAGTTGACCTGCCACATCTAGTTGACCTGCCACCTCTAGTTGACCTGCCACATCTAGTTGACCTGCCACCTCTAGTTGACCTGCCACCTTTAGTTGACCTGCCACATCTAGTTGACCTCTAGTTGACCTGCCACATCTCGTTGACCTCTAGTTGACCTGCCACATCTCGTTGACCTCTAGTTGACCTGTCACATCTAGTTGACCTGCCACCTCTAGTTGACCTGCCACATCTAGTTGACCTGCCACCTCTAGTTGACCTGCCACCTCTAGTTGACCTGCCACCTCTAGTTGACCTGCCACCTCTAGTTGACCTGCCACCTCTAGTTGACCTGCCACCTCTAGTTGACCTGCCACCTCTAGTTGACCTGCCACCTCTAGTTGACCCTCCACCTCTTGTTGACCTGCCACATCTAGTTGACCTGCCACCTCTAGTTGACCTGCCACATCTAGTTGACCTCTAGTTGACCTGCCACATCTAGTTGACCTGCCACATCTAGTTGACCTGCCACCTCTAGTTGACCTGCCACCTCTAGTTGACCCTCCACCTCTTGTTGACCTGCCACATCTAGTTGACCTGCCACATCTAGTTGACCTGCCACCTCTAGTTGACCTCTAGTTGACCTGCCACCTCTAGTTGACCTGCCACCTCTAGCTGACCTGCCACCTCTAGTTGACCTGCCACCTCTAGTTGACCTGCCACATCTAGTTGACCTGCCACCTCTAGTTGACCTGCCACCTCTAGTTGACCCTCCACCTCTTGTTGACCTGCCACATCTAGTTGACCTGCCACCTCTAGTTGACCTGCCACATCTAGTTGACCTCTAGTTGACCTGCCACATCTAGTTGACCTGCCACCTCTAGTTGACCTGCCACATCCAGTTGTCCTCTAGTTGACCTGCCACATTTAGTTGACCTGGCACCTCTAGTTGACCTGCCACATCTAGTTGACCTGCCACCTCTAGTTGACCTGCCACATCTAGTTGACCTGCCACCTCTAGTTGACCTGCCACATCTAGTTGACCTGCCACATCTAGTTGACCTGCCACCTCTAGTTGACCTGCCACATCTAGTTGACCTGCCACCTCTAGTTGACCTCTAGCTGACCTGCCACATATAGTTGACCTGCCACCTCTAGTTGACCTGCCACATCTAGTTGACCTGCCACCTCTAGTTGACCTGCCACATCTAGTTGACCTGGCACCTCTAGTTGACCTGCCACATCTAGTTGACCCTCCACCTCTTGTTGACCTGCCACATCTAGTTGACCTGCCACCTCTAGTTGACCTGCCACATCCAGTTGTCCTCTAGTTGACCTGCCACCTCTAGTTGACCTGCCACATCTAGTCAACAAATCACACAGAAATTTGCTCTAACTCATTTTGGGCATGACTTTATCGTGTTATTCATCTCATTTAAAGTAAACACAAAGGCTTGATATGTGTTATAGTTTATGTTAGTTTTATTCTTCTTATGTTTATTTGCACTTAATTCATAATTTTGAATACTTTCCTTTTTATAGTCATTTTTTAGTATGTCTTTTTGTAACAATTTAAGAAAAGAAATTGCGTTTTACAAGCTTTTTTTTTAGTTCCTAACGTCTTTCTGTTTGTGGCAAATCTTGTAACTCCATTTAGACCAACTTCTAACAGCGATTTCTTTCAAACTTTCCAGAATTGTTCTACTTGGATGACATGAGTCTGTTTATTTTTTATTTAATTAGATGTTCAACTAGTCAGTAAAACTTAATCAAGCGGTTTCTAAACAGTCTGGTGAGCTGTGGTTCACTAGAATGTTTACAGTAGTAGAGTCAGTTGATCTAGTGAAGGCTATAAGGGGCAGATAATCTAGTTTTTAAATTATTTGAAACTAAGGGGAGGTAGCAAGATTAAGACTATTTATGGCTTCATCAGCTTGTTGTTGTCTCTAAATTGTGGTCACGGACGGCTGCATTCATGGGGCAAATAATCATCTTTTAGATATCGCGAGCTACTTACAGTGTTTTAAAGCAAATATTTTTGTCGTTTTGACTTGATAAATTAGGAATCACTAAAAAGTAGAAAATAAAACAAATATAAAAAACCTTTCTAGCAACAATCTGTTAAATGCACTGAAAATAAGAAAACAAATTGACTTTCTTAAATAAAAGTTTTTGTTGCTAAAATATGTCCAACATCTCATGAGCGACCAAAGGCTTTATTAAACTTAAAGAAGGTCAATTGGTTTGACTGACTTTTTTCAGTGTTTATTTGCTTTTTAATTTGCTCAGTACAAAACAATTGAGCGCCCCTATTCCAAGCGGAGTGGTCAGTCATGCAAGTGGTAACAGGCTAACAGGCGGTACAGCAGTTCTGCCCCTGCCACATCAAGTTGACTTAAGAGTACATTTGTTCAAGTCTAGTTGACCTAAGTCAAGAGTACATTTGTTCAAGTCTAGTTGACCTAAGTCAAGAGTACATTATTTCAAGTCTCGTTGACTTACTACTTCTGGTTTCCTTTTTATTCTGACAGGGAGAACAAGTAGGTTGAGTGATTGAAGGCATATCAAGACAATGGATCTTTGTGTAAATACGTTTTGGAAAACCTTGAATAAAAACCTTGAATAAAAACCTTGAATAAAAACCTTGAATAAAAGTTGTGTGGGAATTTGTCCTGTTGAGTAACATTTTAAGTGGGCTGGTACATTGTGTCTAGACACCACTGAGACAACGTGAAATAAAAGCGAAAGATTTTTAAAAAATAATTCTTTATTCCTGTCATTCTGCCTTCATATGGTGAATGGATATACACACCTACACAGTGGATACACACACCTACACAGTGGATACACACATATACAGTGGATACACACACCTACACAGTGGATACACACACCTACACAGTGGATACACACACACACTCACCAACCCAGTCATGAAATGAACCAGAGTGAAGTAGAGAGAAAGGAAGTCATGTGACTGAAGTAGAGAGAATGGAAGTCATGTGACTGAAGTAGAGAGAATGGAAGTCATGTGACTGAAGTAGAGAGAATGGAAGTCATGTGACTGAAGTAGAGAGAATGGAAGTCATGTGACTGCAGTAGAGAGAATGGAAGTCATGTGACTGAGAAAAGTCATGAGCCAGTGTGTGTGATGTAGAGAGAATTGAAGTGGGCTACAAAATCTGGGTCTATACACTGAAGCTGTATGATGAAGTTGCTGCGGTCCGCATCTGTCCATTGGGAGAACCACTGGTCAAATAGCTTGAGCTGGCATTCAAAGATGCTAGGAGGTTTGTCCTTAACCTTCAGGGCACCCATTGAGGAGAAAAGGGAATCTAAATAATTGGGAACAAGTCTGGGGAAAAAATGTGTTAACATGGACTTAACTATCAGTGGCGCCTTCACTAAACATGGGACTAAACTATTGCCTTCACTAAACATGGGACTAAACTATTGCCTTCACTAAACATGGGACTAAACTATTGCCTTCACTAAACATGGGACTTAACTATTGCCTTCACTAAACATGGGACTTAACTATTGCCTTCACTAAACATGGGACTAAACTATTGCCTTCACTAAACATGGGACTTAACTATTGCCTTCACTAAACATGGGACTTAACTATTGCCTTCACTAAACATGGGACTTAACTATTGCCTTCACTAAACATGGGACTAAACTATTGCCTTCACTAAACATGGGACTTAACTATTGCCTTCACTAAACATGGGACTAAACTATTGCTTTCACTAAACATGGGACTAAACTATTGCCTTCACTAAACATGGGACTAAACTATTGCCTTCACTAAACATGGGACTAAACTATTGCCTTCACTAAACATGGACTTAACTAAACTATTGCCTTCACTAAACATGGGACTAAACTATTGCCTTCACTAAACATGGGACTAAACTATTGCCTTCACTAAACATGGGACTAAACTATTTCCTTCACTAAACATGGGACTAAACTATTGCCTTCACTAAACATGGACTTAACTAAACTATTGCCTTCACTAAACATGGACTTAACTAAACTATTGCCTTCACTAAACATGGGACTAAACTATTGCCTTCACTAAACATGGACTTAACTAAACTATTGCCTTCACTAAACATGGGACTAAACTTTTGGGTCAGCAGTCATAAGTCCATAGTTTTTCTTTACATGCGAACTTTTGTACAAACTTGAGTTCTCTGTTTACTTTTTGTATCCTAGCTTTAAAATAAAAGCATGCAAACTTATCTAGTTTTATTTTTACAGTTAGCAGGCTTTGCTTAACAAGTTACTTTATTTCTAAAGTAGACTAACTGATCTATTTTATCTCTAAAGTAAAACCAACTGATCTAGTTTGATCTCTAAAGTAGACCAACTGATCTAGTTTGATCTCTAAAGTAAACCAACTGATCTAGTTTGATCTCTAAAGTAGACAAACTGATCTAGTTTGATCTCTGAAGTAGACCAACTGATCTAGTTTGATCTCTAAAGTAAACCAACTGATCTAGTTTGATCTCTAAAGTAGACCAACTGATCTAGTTTGATCTCTAAAGTAAACCAACTGATCTAGTTTGATCTCTAAAGTAGACCAATTGATCTAGTTTGATCTCTAAAGTAGACCAACTGATCTAGTTTGATCTCTAAAGTAGACCAACTGATCTAGTTTGATCTCTAAAGTAGACCAACTGATCTAGTTTGATCTCTAAATTTAGCTGACCTACTTGTTGAGTAGATCTTTGAGAAAATCTTCCTTCTGGTATGTGGTCCATGACCTAAACCCACCTGTTGAGTAGATCTTTGAGAAAATCTTCCTTCTGGTATGTGGTCCATGACCTAAACCCACCTGTTGAGTAGATCTTTGAGAAAATCTTCCTTCTGGTATGTGGTCCATGAACTAAACCCACCTGTTGAGTAGATCTTTGAGAAAATCTTCCTTCTGGTATGTGGTCCATGAACTAAACCCACCTGTTGAGTAGATCTTTGAGAAAATCTTCCTTCTGGTATGTGGTCCATGACCTAAACCAGTGGCTGACACACTCCATCTCTTTCTCCGTGTTACTCAATGCCATTCTCTGAAGGGACATGGTGTGTTCACTTAATATAACAACATCTCTGTACAACAACATCCCTATACAACAACATCTCTATACAACAACATCTCTATACAACAACATCTCTATACAACAACATCTCTATACAACAACATCTCTATACAACAACATCTTTATACAACATCTCTATACAACATCATCTCTATACAACAACATCTTTATACAACAACATCTTTATACAACATCTTTATACAACAACATCTTTATACAACAACATCTTTATACAACAACATCTCTATACAACAACATCATCTCTATACAACAACATCTCTATACAACAACATCTCTATACAACATCATCTCTATACAACATCTTTATACAACATCTTTATACAACAACATCTTTATACAACAACAACATCTCTATACAACATCTTTATACAACATCATCTCTATACAACATCTTTATACAACATCATCTCTATACAACATCTTTATACAACATCATCTCTATACAACATCTTTATACAACATCATCTCTATACAACAACATCTCTATACAACAACATCTCTATACAACATCTTTATACAACATCATCTCTATACAACATCTTTATACAACATCATCTCTATACAACATCTTTATACAACATCATCTCTATACAACATCTTTATACAACAACATCTCTATACAACAACATCTCTATACAACAACATCTCTATACAACATCTATATACAACAACATCTCTATACAACATCTCTATACAACAACATCTCTGTACAACAACATCTTTATACAACAACATCTCTATACAACAACATCTCTATACAACAACATCTTTATACAACAACATCTTTATACAACAACATCTTTATACAACAACATCATCTCTATACAACAACATCTCTATACAACAACATCTCTATACAACAACATCTTTATACAACAACATCTTTATACAACAACATCTTTATACAACAACATCTCTATACAACAACATCTCTATACAACAACATCTCTATACAACATCTTTATACAACAACATCTTTAAAAAACATCTCTATACAACAACATCATCTCTATACAACAACATCTCTATACAACAACATCTCTATACAAGATCATCTCTATACAACATCTTTATACAACAACATCTCTATACAACAACATCTCTATACAACATCTTTATACAACATCTTTATACAACAACATCTCTATACAACAACATCTCTATACAACATCTTTATACAACATCTTTATACAACAACATCTCTATACAACAACATCTCTATACAACAACATCTCTATACAACAACATCTTTATACAACAACATCTTTATACAACATCTCTATACAACATCATCTCTATACAACAACATCTTTATACAACAACATCTTTATACAACATCTTTATACAACAACATCTTTATACAACAACATCTTTATACAACAACATCTCTATACAACAACATCATCTCTATACAACAACATCTCTATACAACAACATTTCTATACAACATCATCTCTATACAACAACATCTTTATACAACATCTTTATACAACAACATCTTTATACAACAACAACATCTCTATACAACATCATCTCTATACAACATCTTTATACAACATCATCTCTATACAACATCTTTATACAACATCATCTCTATACAACATCTTTATACAACATCATCTCTATACAACATCTTTATACAACATCATCTCTATACAACATCTTTATACAACATCATCTCTATACAACATCTTTATACAACATCATCTCTATACAACATCTTTATACAACATCATCTCTATACAACAACATCTCTATACAACAACATCTCTATACAACAACATCTCTATACAACAACATCTTTATACAACATCTCTATACAACAACATCTTTATACAACATCTTTATACAACAACATCTTTATACAACAACATCTCTATACAACAACATCTCTATACAACATCTCTATACAACAACATCTCTATACAACATCTTTATACAACAACATCTTTATACAACAACAACATCTCTATACAACATCATCTCTATACAACATCTTTATACAACATCATCTCTATACAACATCTTTAT